TAGTTAAATTCATAAGTCAGAAAGGAAATGACAATGCCATGGCAAAAGAAAATGACTAAAAGAAAAACAGTATACAAAACACAACATTGATAACTGAAGACTGAGCAACACGAACCCCATCTACAATTTGGGTTGATATCAGGTGCTCCTGATTGGTGAGCATATCCCGATTCACGTATGACATACGAGAGAATTAGGACAGATCCGTCATCATCTGTATTCCATGGCAGTCAAACAACTCGTTATGGCGTTCTTAAAATTCCTTGGTTTAATAGCATCATTGTACGCAGCAGCCCTCTATCAAGGACATGATGACAAGAAATGCTCTAGAATATCGTAGCAATATAAGTTCATACACAGGTGCTTCGGGAATGTTGCTACACAATTAGTAAGCTGAAATCATCTCTTTTGTCATTAAGTTTTGTCCTCGATCGACCGTCATTGTCAATTTCAAGATGTGAGTCAAGATAAGAGACATACTAAACTGTATCTGTTGTATCCTTTATTTCATGTCGAGTTAATCAGTAATTTTCATTTTTGATTACATAAATATTAAGTAGTTATGCATATCTAATATAGGCATTGTTTCAACTTATGCATTATTGCTAACGATGCCCTTTGCGTGTGCGATTTAACATTTTATGGGTTCCACTTAGGTTTATTGCATGGTGTGAGTTATCGCCTATAATTGTACATTGAAAGAGCCCGTTCTACCCTTTGTGATGCTGTTTTTTCTCAATTGTCTTCGATGCCATTTCCTGAATATCTAGTACATATATAATTATCATAATAATAGGAAACAAAGGACATGGGGTATCCAACCATGACACATAATTAGTACATGCACTGCGAAATACACATAAAAAAGCAAAGGCACAGCGTATTTATAGATGTTCTTCATCTCAAAGTCACAGTGATGCCTTCATTACGGAGTAAAAGAAAACACTCACCTCATTGCAAGTTTAAGACGGCCCCTAGCACGGATTTCTTTGTAAATTAATTCGGATAGACTTGTAAGATGTAACATCCCCAAATTGGGCCCGGGCAAAACAGAACATACTGGAAAGTAGTACATATTTAAAACACAATAGTTCCTACGCATAGGTGTCAATATCATACTATGTAGACTATATTTTAGTATTTAAGGTATCAAATGAAAGGTGAAGGACTGGTGATCCTCGTAGAACACATATTGACTGATAATTTTGAACAATACAAACATGTATGAATGAATTCTAAAATTGAGGGCATATATTGCCTGTTTCTCAGATTTGAAGCACCTGGTTTGGTTCATCCAAAGTTCCGGTAACCAGTACGGACTGATGTGTAAATGGCAGTATATTGATCCCGCCTCTATAAATCTTTGAAATTGAAAAAAAATTACGTGAATAGGAATGATATGAAAATGAAATATATATGACCTTTGAGATTAAAACAATATTTAACTCGAAAAAAATATAACGATAAAAAAATGTCATTCCGGGTACATGTTTCGAACTTCGGACTGTTGATAGCATAGTTTTGACTCTCTTTACCAACGACTAAACGATCTCGGCTATAAACATCTTGATTGGAAATGTCAAAATCAGCATAGGTTTATATATGTAGCAATTGACGATGGATGCTGAATGAAATAAAATAATCTTAATTTAATGAAACGGTAACAGTATAAACAAAATATATGATTTATTTTTCAAATATTTTCCAAATATCTCCTTAAGTACACAATTTCCATATCTATTGAAATGGAGCAAAATGAAAAATAAACTTGATAGCTTTAATTTATTTGTGGCATATGCGCTAACCTTATAGATTTTGATAAGCGCGGCTATCCTAGGTGACGTAGCGAACCCTCAGAATTTTTGGTTCTCAATCGTCTTTAATTTCATACTTTATTTGACCTATTTAACTTATATGATTCCACGTCACAGATTAATCTTTTGACAAAATTTTTTTTATATCTTTATTCTCTAATATTCAATATTTATATACAATACTTCTATTAAATATTACACAATAATATTCACAAAACAATGGTAAAATGTATAATGTCAAATATCATTAACACAATAATTAAATATTGAATGGAATGACACCTTCAGTCTTTTTGCACAAGTATATTGTCCTTTAAAAGGTGTTTTTCAAAAACATTTCTCATGCATCTTACACCACACAAATATTCATACAGGTAAGTTATTATATAATGTTTTAAAGTGTATCTAAATAATCTAATGAGATCAACATCTAAATAATGTTCATATTTTTAAGTAAATTCCTTCTTCTGAAGAGACAATACCTCGCTACAGATAACATGAAATTGACAAAACTAATATTTACGCCTTTGAAAGATCCAATTAAACTGTCCATGAATACTTCTTCATACACTACTGTATTCATTTAATCAGAGTCAACATTATCAAATAAAACCAACAACTTTTGTTGCACAAACGTATGAAATTCTGCTAGTTCAGAACATAATGAAAATATAAAAGAGTGATGTTTTCTACTTCCTTTTCACATACATCACATACATTGTTAGTAATATGTTTCACAATCATACATGTCATAAGATTAGTGAAAAAAAAAGAAATTGAAGTTGCTATTTTGAAATCAAGATACATTGATATAAGTGGTTTCCAGTAAAAATTGAAATTGTTCCACACTTAACAAAGTTCATGATCTTCAATCTCAAAAACTTCCGTCCACTTTTCATTGTAAACAGGATCCTGACAAAGTTTACTTGTAAGTAATCAATATAATTCTTTTGGAAAACGCATAGATAACCCCGACAATTTGTCTTTAAAAATAACAACAAAATTAACAGAGCGAAATACGTTTCTCCTATGAACATCTTTATGAATCACTACGTAACGTGCTTTTGGCATACAAAATTTTAATCCTAGTATCTATAAATAAAATTTTTAAAATAACTGTAATATCTGTCCATGTCAGACATATGTCAGACATATGGTTTCCCCCGAAATTGAAAATATACTTATATATTATCTACAAATTGATACCATTGAAAAAGAAAGTTATTACAAACACGTGTTGCCTTGAGGCTGGACGTTTTTTTTATGTAAGGGTCGTGATTTGAATTATTGACGACCAGGTCATTTTATATAAATATGATTAAGTCTACAAAGTTTGCGAAAAGCATTTAAGTAAAACTGGATTGTTTGAATTAATTTGTTATCTACATTTTATGCAATACAATCCTACCAATCATATTGAGAATGTAGTTTCAATCACATTTTTTACCATTTTCCGAAGTGCATTCTGTAAATGCAGAGTAAGAGAGAGAGAAAAAACCCATTGTGTGAAATGATATGGATACAATATATTACTAGTGAAATTTATAGAAGGGCTTTGCCTTGCCAGTGGTTTGCATGTGTAAAATTGATATTTTCTGTTTTACGTGAGAAACCATTGAATCTGAAATTAAGGGTATGATATAAACGGGAACCTAAACCCTGATTAGGCCACAACTACACATGAGCTTATTATCACTCGGCTTTTTGGGAGGTTTCGTGTTATTCAGTGTTTAGTTTTTATGTTGTATGTTGTAGACTGTTGTTATTTTTTTCGCCGTTTTTCGTTATTTTTTTTACATGTCAGTTTGTCTTCGACGTATGCGTTTGAATATCTCTTTGATATATTCCGCCTATCTTTAATAAATTAACTAAAAATGATATCATCAGAATGCCTGACTTGTTGATGAAGAACATATTTGCTGAGGTTGGTGGATGGATATTTAAAAAGACAGTCGATATTTCAATAGGTATTAGTTGGGCACCCCTGCTGGCTGATTTTTTGTTGTATTCATCTGAAGCAGAATACACATCAAAAATGAAAAGAAAAGGCATCTTGCAGATACTGTATCGTATATCACTCAATAACCATCACTTAAGTGAGTGCTGGCATCTTATATATCCAAATGAACTTGAGATTAAGGATATTAGCAACATAGAATGTCTACACCATATCATTGATCATTGCCTCAAGCTTCGTGTTAATAAAGACAGACGACTAAGAAATTAAATCTATGACAGGCATGATGATTTCAACTATCCAATTGTCAAATTCCCATTTCTTAACAGTTACCTACCCCATCATTTACATCTCTAGATTTATACCTTACGCATCTGCATGTTAATATCAGGCTGGCTTCTTGAACAAAGGTTGCTACTTTAACTAAAGCTTCTCCAAGAGTTATGGGAATTAACATCTATTATCATATACTTGTATAAAATATTACTAAAATTTTACAGTTCAATAACAAATTAAAATATTAAAAGGCTATGAAAGGATTAATAGGTTTATTGACCATATTCCTAAGAATTTCCTCAGCGGGCTGATAAAGGAACCTTTAATGACTGCTTCCGGAATGTTATCACATGGCTTTCCGTTAATTTCCGTGACGTTTATCACATGCAACTTCGTGCATTTCCGGAAATTTGTTTGAAAACGACAACACAGTGCGGAAAACCGCAAGTGATTTAAAAGGACTTTTCACAAAATGGTTGAGGAGCAAAAATGAATTAAGATTAAACATGTTTTGAAAGACATAAATGAGATGCCAGAAATTGTCCATTACAATTTAAAGGAAAAACTATGCACATAGTTTTCGGGGGCAACCATCACAGGAAAGATGACAATAAATTTTTCAAACTAAGAACAAGATAATTGTTGTGACAAGATAAATAAATGATTGTAATATCAATAAAAACAATTAAAGTTAAGAAATTTGTATTTGGTTGTCTGTAAATTATTATCTAAAAGTTCAAAGAAAGACAAAACTTTAATAGTTTTTGTCTGTATTTCTTCTGCTGAAGTATATGATAAAAAGATCATTACATGTCATTTTTCATATCAGACCCTTTATCGGCCCTCGTTCACGATATCAGCCCTCGAGCCTGCGGCTCTTGGGCTGATATCATGACCTAGGGCCGATAAAGGGTCTGATATGAAAAATGCCATGTAATAATCTATACTTATCGACATCAAATACGTGAAGATAAAAATTGAGTATAACATGGGCGCACTCTTTTTGTTGTTTAGATGAAACGACAGTAACAATGTCTTTATGACTATTTCATTTACAATTTTTCTACGCTGCATAGTAGTGCGTTCAAAAACGTATGTTTATGCGTCACATGTTCATGTTAATAAATAAAAATAATAAACTTTCAAATTAATGGTTTAAAAGATCAATCTTGTATCTTTCTGTTGAATACAGTTATATTGTTTTACATAAAGAAGTTGCTGAACACTTTGTGATTCAGTAACTTATACCGCCGATTTATGCAAATACATAGGATACCAGTATAACGTTTTGTTTATGCAAATCATAACTGCTAAATTCATTCAAACTAAATTTTAGAAAAAAAATAAGCATTGTCTTTGTTTTTCAAACAACCAGACACCCCATCACAACAACAATGATGTCGTAGTACTCTTTTTTATTCACACCTATCTATTGAAAGTGTCTTTCGTACCTGCACTGACTTATGTTATTGTATGTTTTGTAAGATATATTATATATCCAGGGTAATATTTTGTCAAAATCAATACACTTTTTGTGTTGTGCAGTCGTTGGCCTTGCTTTTATCGACCTTGATTTGTAACATTTTTTTTTTATTAAGCAAATTGTTAAAATGAAAATGCAGAGTTACTATTCTTAAATATCATACGAGTAAAAGAATAATTCACTGGTGTTATATATCATAAAAATGTCTATATCAATTAGATTAAAGATCACACCAAACTCCTAGATTTTGTTCAGATGGATTCCGATAGTACGCATATAATATCCAAAGAAGTTTAAAATACAGATTTCTGTTGGAAAACACTTTGTCAAGCTAAAGTATTCTGTTTATATTATCAAGATTAAACTAAAGATTCCTTTATTTTCTCCCAAAAAACAATATTCCCTTGTTCATCATTTGGGTACTCGATGTACGATTGCTTTTGAACTAACTCCAGAATGACTAACGGTAGATCTTGTGGGCGAAGTTGTTCATAGAAGATCAGAAAGAGAATATTTTGACCATCTCTTGAATATATACTCTCCATTCTAGCCATATTGAATTCAAACATGCAATAGTATGAATCTAGAAATGATCGCGTTAATATGCATATTGTCTTCTTACTTTGGTGAATTCCGTTGGTAATATTTTGTGTAATTTCTTCTCCCGGAATGAAGTCCCGCTGATGTACACATAGTTTCATGTTGTCATCACTTTCTAAGTTTCTTATAATGTCATTCACAACGAAATCGGTTTCTTCATTTGCATACGATATGAATGCATCATATTTGTAATTAGGGCTAGATTGAATACTTTTAAAAACATCGTATTTATGTCTAGTCATATAATACAGATAACGTAGCTTCCATCGAAATCTGAACATCAACCCGGCAAAAAGAATTACTAAAGCTGTATTGACACCTATAGTTACACAAATGATTAAAGTGGTATGTGAACTGCACTCCTTTTCAAGTTGTTTAACAATATCATTAACATTTGTCAGATAAACTACGTCATTGTTATCAAACCGGCAGGTATATTTATGCTTGAATATGAACATATCCACATTCGCGTTCATCCATTGTAGGAAATACAGATTTTTACAGCTGCAATTAAATAAAATGTTCGACAGGTCGATTTTCAACTGTTTGGACAATTTGTGTAATGTATCCATAGATGCTTGTGAAGATATGCCACCGATGTTGTTACTAGATAAATCAAGTTCTTTTAAACTAACGAGATGAGAAAGATCAAAAGTAACATCTGTTAATTTGTTCTTGCTTAGATTAATTTTAACTGTTTTTACATGTCCGTGAAACATAGAGTAAGATAAATCATATATAAGATTATTAGATATATCAACTTTCCTGAGTTCAGTCTTACTAGAATTAGTATATCTTTCCGATGAAAGGTATGCACCTAGTGAGTTATTTCGTAAGTTTAATGTCGACAAGTAGGGCATTCCGAAATAGAACTTCCCAAGTTTGTTATTTGAAAAATCACACACTTTCAATGTAGTAGGTAGCATAAAATTCTTTTCGTCACCATCAATTTCGATAAAACTGTTATTATTTAGATAAATTTCCTCTATTTTCGTTTCGATTAATTGACTAGTTAAATATGCTGGATTATAATCTAGTACAAGTGGAAAGGAGTTTGTCATTTTCAAAACTTGTAATTCATCATGTAATAACAAATCTTGCATTAGTGTCAATAGGTTATCATCATTAAGCCTATTATGCGAAATGTCTAAATATCTAATTTTCTTCTTTTTTGGCAATGTCCCAACGTCATAGTTTTGTATTTTACAGTTTGTCATTTCAATATATTCAAGATAGGGAAGATAGAGAAACGTTAAATTGGTCACAGAAGGCAACCAACAAAAATCTATTTTCAACCTTGTAAGATGCGTTAATGATAAATATCTGTTTGAAAATCTAAACAATAAAGATGGGTGTCCTGCATCTACTTCTATACTCTGTAATTTATTTAGAGATGTAAGGAAAACGCTTGGAAAAGTGTGAAACTCTCTATCTGTATAGAACAACATATTTCGCGCTACATTCAAGTGTGTTAACGACACCAATGGTTTGAAAATATCGTTTGGTATCTCTAAACTGTAATTCAAACAATTTCCTTTAATAGATAATGTCTTAAGACTTGACAGACCATAAAATGTTCCTTCTTCTATATATGAAAGCCTATTCCAAGATAAATCCAACTCGATTAGAGTTTCTAAATGATTGAATGTTGTTGGTGGAATTATCATTACTTTATTAAATCTCATAAAAAGTTTATGTACTTCTTTTGGAAAATGAGGGATGTTGTCGTTAGTAATGTTTTTATGATCACAATAAACTGCAATACTCAAATTAGAACATTTACATCGCTGATCAAATTTACAAACATTCTCTGTAAATATTCCTGTGATAACTACCGGCATGATGTATATGACATACACAGAGGTAACGTATACATTTGATATCCTCATCGTGTTAATTGAAACAGCAAAGATTCTAAAAAAATATAATGACATATTTCTATTCAATTTAAATTCAAAATTTTATGGTTTATTTCTTTCAAGTACAAACAAACAAATAATAAATATTATACTTATAACAACAATAATAATGATAATAACTTAATCATAATCATGTTAAATGAATGAAAAGTAAAATGAACAAATAAAATATATGAAGCGTTTGTACCCATGAACAACTGGCTTTATCCCATCACATTTTGTCAGGCTATCTAGACCATGTGTTGTTTGTCTTTAATTGAAAAGATAGAATATGGAGTATCCATCCATGACATAAAATCAGTACACACACAGCACAAAACACATAAAGGAAAGGAACAGCGCTTTTATTGATTTTCTTTCTCTCAAAGGCACAGTTTGGCCTTCAACACAGTGCAAAAACTCTCACCTCATTGCAAGTTTATGACGGCCCCTAACAGCGATTTCAGCGGAGTTCTTTGCCAATTGACGATCACAGCAACAACTATGAATTGAAGAACAAAGCCATGGAGTAATTGCAAATGAATCAAACACTTTGTGTCATACTTGAACCCACCAATCACACTAAAGCGTGCAAAAACAACACAAACAATTAGGCAATCACGGTGCACATCGTGATGCATGTTAGATAAATGGCAGGCAATAAAAGGCAATAGTTGGAATAGACTTTGTAAGATGTAACACAACCAACTCGGGTTAGGCCTAAAAGAACTAACTGGAAAGTAGTACATATTAAAAACAAAATAGTGCCTACGTAAAGGTGTAGGTCTTTGTATGTAAGTCATTTTGATTCGGAGGAGTAGAGTGCTTAGTGGCTGTTTGGTCTTTTGTGCTATTAGAATAATTGTATAAGCCATCTTGTGTTAACATTTGTTTATATATTTCAGTAGGATTGTTGAATATATCTTAATTATAATGTCTAATGATATAAAAACAGGGCATGTTGGCAGTGTTTCTATAATTTATACTTATTGTGTAAACGGTTTGAAGGAATAAAGCACTTGGGGCAAAATTTATAAAAAAAAAACTTATCATCTTTCAAGGTTGTCGTTTTGGTACTTGATGAATGTTATTGAGTTGATAAAAATCATTTTGTAATTTTTCTTTGCAAATTTCAATGGTCCAATAGATGTTACAAAACCAGAAAACAAACAGTAGAAATTGTGCAGGCAATCATTTCTAGAATATACAAAAGTAGCATATTATAACACCAAACGTAACCAATTTTACTAATGAAAATTCCAAAACCTTATAACAGCAAATTTCAAAAAAACAATATCCTTTTTTCGAAGTCATTTGACTGGTAATACCCTGGTCAACTAATGTAAATTATACATAAGGCAATATATACACTGTGACATTGTTGCATTAACTAAACCATTGGAGGAACTCTTTTATTTAGAGTAATTAATCAAATTACCGAACGAATGTTAAAATTCTGATGCAAATAAGTAAACAATTCGTATACTTGTTATGTGATAACTGCATCGATTTTCCCAGCCGTAAAATTCAAATATACAAACAACAAGAATCAGAACAGTATACAATATGCTATAACATATATATTTACCTTTGATAGACTGCAATCAGACAATGCTAGAACGTCTTATCTTGCTTTTCATATACGAATGTACGTAGCAATTAACAGATTTTTGTATATTCAATCTGAATGACCTTAGTTAATTATAATTTCCTTGTGGAATTTAATTGATGAAAACATTTCTTTTTCCACGCCTTCATGGTGGATAAAACAATTAACAATCGACACATTTCTCTATCGCTGTCAAATGCGGAAGAAAATAAACCACGAGAGCAATTAAAATCAAATTGTTTAATTCAGATCAACTGAAGGTCTTTCCATCTTAAATGCACATATTTTTATATGAAAATATTAACTTCCGGTTTAAAATGTCCTTTCTGGTGTCAGATGATGGCTTTCTTTACGCTGATTCAAGGAATATATGGTTTCGTTACAGTTTTTGCTTAAACTGGCGACGCGTAGTGGAGACAGATAAACGGATATTTGTGACAGTAAAACTACCGATGGACGTCCGCAAAGCTTCAAATACAATACAGTTATCTCTATTCTAATGCAAAATAAACAAATCATTCAATTTTAGTCATTATTTTAGTGTAAAGTTTTCATTAAACGAAAATTCCGCGAAATGATGTTATCTTCTTTGGCGCCATAACTAGGTGACGTCATAGGTATGCTTCCGGCATCAAACGTAAACACCGGGCGTTTTCTGGCTTCTTATTCGCTTCAGAATGTAATAAAATTTGATAAAAAGAAGATTTCTTGGTGCAAAATATGAGTTTTTTTGCTTATTTTTTGAGAAATTACATGTCAATACATTCCGCAATTCAAAATGTCGGCTTCCTTAGTTACAGACAGGGAGATAGAGAATTTTACGCTTATTGTCATCCAATCAGAAACATTGATACAAAATAATTGCATTAGAATTTGTAACATTTGAAACCGTACCTATAAATGTCGTAAATTCAAAATTATTTTTATGGGTACTCGTTGCTTCTTGTAAATGTAATGCTTTGTGAGTAGGACTTATTATTTATTTTTTTTGACGTCTAAAAAACCTTGTCGTACAAGTGGGATGTTCCACAAAGCATACTTATCCTAAATATATGTGTTTTCCCGTTGATTACAGCGATTGCCATCTCGATACTACCTGGAGTTGAGTATGTTTTCTATTTGGTATGCAATTATAATGAGCTCTAGAATTTTGCATTATTAATTTTAGTTGTAAAGGGATATATATATATAATCAGATAAGGTCCAAATGTGATCTAGCAAATTAGACTTATGCACAGGTAAGTACTTACATGAGCAACACGACAGGTGCCAAATGTGGAAAAGGATCTGCTTATCCCTCCGGAGCATATAATATCAACTCCTGCAGGTGTTTTGGTTATTATAAAAAGAAAATGTGATATGATTGCCAATGAGACAACTGTCCACAATAGACCAAATGACACAGAAATTAACAACTATAGGTCACCGTACGGCCTTCAACAATGAGCAAAGCCCATACCGCATAGTCAGCTATAAAAGGCCTTGAAATGACAAATGTAAAACAATTCAAACGCGAAAACTAACGGCCTAATTTATGTACAAAATAATGAACGCAAAACAAATATGAAACACAACAACAAACGACAACCACTGAATTACAGGTTTAAGTTCGTTTTGCTAAGTTTTAAGTTTTCTATGTTGATTTTGTATACTGTTGTTTGTATTTTGGTCGCTTTCCGTTTTTTTGTCATGGCATTGTCAGTTTATTTTCGAATTTTATCTTGACTTACAACTAGAAATTTACAATGAGGGTCGGTTGAAAACAAAAGAGATGATTTCAGGTCCCCTATTGTGAACTTTCCATTTCTATGTAGCAACATTCAAGCAGCGCCTGACTACGGAGTATATATCTTCTAGTTGATACGATATTCCAGAGCTTGTATTTCCTATCATGATTTCCTTGATAGAGAGTTGCTGCTCACAACGCACAAAGAAGCTACTAATCCAAACGTTTCAACTGGTGAAGTTCAAATCATCCCTTCGTAAATTTTAACGACACCATCATAAGTTGTTTGACCATTATGGAATATCTGTTTCACAGATGACGACGGATATGTTCCAATTGTCGTAACTACTTTCCATTGCCCTTTTCCCCGAATGTGACCTGGCGAATTAGACATGTTGCTCAGTCTTTATTTTTCTATGTTGCATTTTGTTAACTGTTGTTTGTCTGTTTGTCTTTTTCTTTTTTTGCCATGGCGTTGTCAGTTTATTTGGACTTATGAGTTTGAATGTCCGTTTGGTATCTTTTGCCTCCCTTTTACATATCTTTTGTATCGTCCATTACAGGAAATTAATTCATTTTATTGAGATTGAAATATTGTTTTAAATTTGTCTTTATTCCTGTTCAAAAGGTTTACAATGTTTGCATAATACTTTTTGAGTGTAGCAATATTTTATGAAAACATATAGCCTTGTTAATTTATTGATGTTTTATATGTTACAAAATATATAGAAAACACGAAAGTCCACAAAACTCTGCATAAAAAACAAATAAACACTAATAAACACGAACTCCACCTAAAACTGTGGGTGAAGTATTTAATAAGTTGATTTTTATGTTTCTTAAAAACATATAGGAAGAAGTTTTTCAAACATTTCACTTTCGTTCCGGTTGACATGGGAGGTAACCGTTGTTCATATTTCATTTAATTTGAATTTCCAGTTGCAGCTGCCATATTTACATGTAGAAAAAATACAGTTAAATGTTGAGTTTACACGTTGTCCGTTGACGATACTGACATTAAATTATAAAAGCTACAACAATCACATGTTTCTTCATATTATCTTCATTGTATATCATCTAATTTCAACATCTTGAATTCTCATCGCTGGTGTTTGTATATATACCTTTTGAATGAATGTACGTTGTCATCAGAAGTGGCAGGAAACGTTTTATCCAATACACGCGATCAATAAGATTTAATACATTTAATGTATATCATCAAAATCAAAGAATATTTCAGTAATGCAATATACTTAGCCATTTCGAAGCCAGGGATGTAGAAATACATAGAAAAATTTAGAGCTTCATGACCAAGATAGGCCTAAAAGCTACCTAAATTTTACTAAAGATTTACTTAAAAATTACAGGTAACAACTATTTTGTGTTCATGTGATTGAATCTTTGAACACAACAAGGTTTGTTTTAACCACCCGGACAATATTCTTCAAGTGGTCATAACTGCATAATGCTGGTCGATTAAGACTTGTTATGGTAGTCATAACTATTTACTGAAGTTATAACATGGTAAAAAGAAGGAAATATTTTAACTTCTTTTCTTTAGTACGATTAAGTTTATTTAAATGAATGATGTTGGTATATTTTATAAATTATTAACATTACTAATTACTTTAATTAGTTTTTAAGAGGTTATAATATTGCATATTTTAGAGATATATATATATCAACATGTATAAATCAAGATTTTTTTTTATTACAAATGTATGATTTTTACAGGCAAATAAAATTACAGGTACATGCAATTTCAGTCCTTAATAACCAATTACATTGCCCAGCATGCCAGTTGTAAAATGTTAATAACTTAAACAAAAGCCGTCAATAGAAGATATTGACATAACATGAGTTTAAAGTAATAAAAGTGATATTTGAAGACTCTTTGAAACAAGAAAATATTTCCTGTCTATTCAACTGTGAGACGAAAATTGTCTAAGTACCGGACATGGAATCTGTGAAGGATCTTTACTTTTATGACATCTGTGATTAATGGTCTAAACCCAAAAATATCTAATCTACACATAGATCATATCACTTTTAAATAGAGACCTAAAGATTGTGTTTGGAACCTCGAAAAAACATTAAAAGACTACAACAAAACCATTGCAAAAAGATTGCTATGATTTAGTTGTTCAAAACCTCGAAGTCTAAACCAACCAAGAAGAAATCATTTCCTAAACTTATCGAAGACTACCAGGCTGAAAATGAGATTCCAGCAAAACCAACAGTACTTTATCCTGCTGTGAAGACACCACAAATTCAGCAAATCGAAATGAATGACTTTAGCATCTCAACTAATCATACCCAGATCAAAAAGCTGAACGAGCACATTACTATACTGTTGTATGCCTTTAACTTTAATACCTTCATGATTTCAGTACTAACAGTAATTGACCGCGTATTGAATAGTTTTTATAGTAATGTCTACCCAAAATTTCAATCGACCAGTATTTGCCAGTAATGCCCACTATTTCCAGGTATTTACCGGTATTTACAGCCGGCACAGGCAATGACCGGCTTTTTGCCCACATTTGGTACACATTCCACTTTAACATCAGTTGTAAGAAAGTTTACTGTTGCAACAAAACGCTTTCAAACTTTTGAGTTTATGAAGATCAAGCTAAGGCTTTCTTAATTTTATCCCAAAACACGACATTTCCTTGTTCATCATTTGGGTACTCAATGTAAGATTGACTATGAACTAGCTCCAGAATGACTAACGGTAGATCTTTAGGGCGGAGTTGTTCATAGAAGATAAGAAAGAGAATATTCTGACTATCTCTAGAATATATACTCTCCATTCTTGCCATATTGAATTCAAACATGCAATAGTACGACTCTAGAAACGATCGCGTTAATATGCATATTGTTCTCTTACTTTGGTGAATTCCGTCGGTAATATTTTGTGTAATTTCTTCTCCTGCAATAAAGTCCCGCTGATGTACACATAGTGTCATATTGTCATCACGTTCTAAGTTTGGTATAACTTCATTTACAATAAAGTCGGTTTCGTCATTTGCATATGATATGAACGCATCGTATTTGTAAGTAAAGCTAGGTTTAATACCTTTCAATACGTTATATTTATGTCTGGTCATATAATACAAATAACGTAGTCTCCAACGATATCTAAACAAAAACCCAGCAAAAAGTATAACACAAGTGAGAATTATCCCCATAGTTATACAAATGATTAACGTAGTATACGAACTACACTCCTTTTCAAGTTGTTTTACTATTTCATCAACATTTGTCATATGAACTACGTCATTGTTATCAAACTGGCACGTGTATTGATCCGTGTTTACGAG